TTCTGCCACCCGGTGCACTCCAGATATGTTGGAATACAAGTCCCAACTTCCTGGCAGAGGATGGTGGGACATGCAGTGAACACAGCCTGAACGGCCCCTGGAGGGGAGGGCTGTTCTCTCAGCACCCTTCTCAGATGCTTGAAAAGGTCAGTGCTCCCTGTATATCGGAACCGGGGTCAAAGGAGATGCATCTCCGGGGCTGTGTGAGCGCATGAACCTCACGCAGCCCTGGCTGGACTCCATCTCCTTTGCTAGAGGCGAGAGAGCGAGAGAAAAGAAAACAATTTGCTTCTTTACCATTTGGGGTCTTTTAGTCGGCACAAATGGAACCCAAGAGTAAGTCAACCTGCCCTTGGCCAGGGCAGAGCCAGGCTCTCCCAGAGACCCAGAGTGCAACTTTGCTGTGCACAATTCCATCACAACAAATGTCCTAAAATCCCCCATCAGACTGTCCCTGCCCTCAGGCTGGCAGTCTAAAAGTGAAGGCACGTGAAGAAAAAGGGGCTGGGAGGGAGGAGGAAAAAAGCGCAGGCAAGAGCCTTTACAGTTGTGGAGCTGTGCACAATGGCTAGGGATGAAACCCGTTCTGCTAGCCTGGCCGAGTGGTTGCCAGTTCGGCTGCCAGTTGGGGGGAGCCGGCCGGGCACTTGCGCATCTCTACCCTGCAGGTCCAGAAGGGCCTCTTCTTATTCCAAGTGACAGGCTCAGCATCAACATCTCAGACGTATTATAGCCAAGCCAAGCAAGCCGATTCTGTATCCGAGCATATTTTAACTTTCTGCCTCTTCTGGGCGGCCCCCTTGCCCTCAGGACGACATTTGTTGTGATGGAATTGCACGCAGGTTGCACTCCGGGTTTCTGCCAGGGTCTGGCTCTGCCAGGGCCAGGGGCAGAACACCCCCCCTCTCAGTGCCGCCTCCCCAAAGTTTTGTTGCCTGGTGCCTCTCCAGAAGCGGCCTGGGCCCCTCATGGGGCCCCTGGCGCCCACCCAGCCTCCCCCCCAGGATCTTCAATTTGCCCCTCGTGGCCTTGGGCCCCGTGGGATGGGCGTGCTTCTCAAGGAAGGCTGAACGCCAGCCCAGGCGGGGGGGCACAGCCCGACGTGCCTTCCCAGCCCCCAGTCCCAGCCCCTCCC